AAAAAGTAAAACAAAAAGATTAAAAGTAAAACAAAAAGAGTCGTTACATAAAAAAAGTAAAACAAAAAGAAAAGTAAAACAAAAAGAGTCGTTACATATAACGTATTTTACAATTAACATAAAACGTATATTACAATTAAAAAGTTCCAAATAAAGGTACATAATTACAATTAGAAGAACCTTATTATGTCATCGGAAAATAAAATTAAATTTTTGAGTTTATTTTTGAAAACTGGAAAAGTGTAAAATATATCAAAATTTGGCAAAACAACTTTATTCCAAAAATATGGCGCACGATAAGCAATACCATACTGGTTAAACTTTGTTCGACAAAAAGGTTTATGCAAAAATTTATTATTTCTAAGAGTATATTTATTTATTGGCTTTTCACAAAAAAGAACTTTAAAGATAGGTAGGGATAAGTCATTTTTCCACAAATACATAAAGCATAAAACATTAAACACATTAAGTTCGTAAATATTAAGAATTTTCATTTCAATAAAAAAAGGTTTGGAATGAGTGTATTGATCCGCAAAATTAATTAAATGGATCGCATGCTTCTGACGGCGGTAAAGACATTGTAATTTGCTTTTTTCTGTGCTTCCCCAAGCAATATTTGCATAATTTAAATAGGCATGAATAAATGTGTAGTATAGTTGGGTTAAATCTTTTTTACATAGATATGTTCTGGATTTATATAAAATTCCAATGCTTTTAGAAATTTTTGTGCTAATATAGTCAATATGCGCTTTCCATGTGATGTTTTCATCAAGAAAAACACCCAAAAACCTTGTGACATAGTGTCTTTTTATCACAGTATTATCAATAAAGATTTCTGGTAAATTTTGGGGTAAATAAGGTTTTTTTGCGATTGGATGGAAGAGAATCCATTTTGTTTTGTTACTGTTAAGAGTTAGCTTATTGCATATAAACCATTTTGATATGTTTTTAAGTTCATCGTTCATACTAGAAAAGAGTTTGTAAATATCATTATTAGAAAGAAATAAGTTGGTGTCATCAGCAAACATTATACTCATTAAATTTGAGGCTTTATTTAGGTCGTTTATATAAATCAAGAACAACAGTGGTCCCAAAATGGAACCTTGGGGAACGCCACATGAAACATTTAGGAACTCATTTGGATAACAACTATTACTAAAAACAAATTGTTTACGGTTAGATAAATAACTTCGGAACCATTTTATAACTTTGTAATTTATTCCATAATATTTCAGTTTTTGTATCAAAATTTCATGATCTACAGTATCGAACGCCTTCGATAGGTCGATAAAAACACCTAATGTAAATTTAGATTTTTCAAAAGAATTTGAAATTTCACGTACAAGTTGGATAATTGCATGTTCCGTCGAATTATTTTTTTTAAAACCAAACTGGTTGGCGTATAACAAATTATTAGAAAGGAGATAATTGTATAATCTATTATACATAATGCGTTCTAGTATTTTTGAGAATGTGCAGAGGACGGAGATAGGACGATAATTACTGATAATTGTTTGATCTCCCTCTTTTAAAATTGGGGTAATTTTAGCAATTTTTAATTGATCCGGAAAAACTCCTTGGTGAATAGATGCTCCATAAACCTTAAAAAGTATATCTTTTAATTGTTCAAAACATTCTATAACTATATTACCGTTTATGTCATCTGCTCCGTTTGCTTTGTCTTTTTTAAGGGATTTGAATGCTTTTTCGAATTCATGAAAAGTTAGCTCAGAATATAATTCGTTGGAACTAATGCAATTATCCATCTGTACTAGAAAATCGTTAAATGTTGCTTTGGTATAAGGAATTTTATTTGCTAGTTTAGGACCGATGTCAGTGAAGAATTTATTAAACTCATGAGCTGTAGCTTTTGGTTCGCGTATGCGTTTGTTATCCACTATAACCATCTGGGGAAGAGAACCTGAGCATTTTTTTTGTCTGCCAGTAATTTCGTTCATTATTTGCCAATTGCGTTTTGTGTTATTTTTGAATTTATCTAGAAGTCTTGTGTAATAATTTTTTTTCAAGTTTTTACGAACTTTTTCAAAGAGATATTTGTAATTTTTATATATTTTCTCATTATCTAATGATTTTGTTTTAAGATATTTTATATACAGCTTCTGTTTAATCTTGGATGATTTTTTAAATCCTTTTGTTATCCAGGGGTTATTTTTATATTTTGGAGTTATTGTCTTTTCAATAATAGGAAAGTTTGCGTCATAAACGGAGTAAAAGGTTTCATAAAAGTTATCATAAATTTTGTCTGCATTGTCATTGAAGTTAATATGCTTCCAGTGCAGTAACGATAGTTGGTTTTTAAACAACTTTATATTTGTATGGTTAAAAATGCGGATTTTAATTTTATTTATTTTATTTTTAATTTCAGAATTAATTGTCAAGAATATAGGAAAATGGTCAGTTATATCAGATTTTAGGATATCTGTTTGAATATCATTGTTGAATATATCTGTTGTAATAATATTATCAATCAAAGACTCCGAGTTTTTTGTTACTCTAGTTGGCCTGTTTATTAAAGGAATTGCTCCTGCCTCAAAAAAGGAGTCGTAAAAGTTTTTAATTTTGTTATCTTCATTATAAAGAAAACAATTCATATTTAGGTCTCCAATAATGAAGTTCTTTTTGTTTTCTTTAATACCTTTTTTGAAAATACTTTGTTCAAAAAAAATGCTTAAGTTCTCGCTCACGCCGTCAGGTGGGCGATAACAACAGCTTAATAATATGTTTTTAGATTGATTGTTCATAATTTCAATAGTCAAAATTTCTTTATCGCCCTTAAATCATTCCTAACGTAATAAACAATATTTTCATTCACATATATAAGGACTCCTCCGCCGCGTTTATTTACTTGTCTTTTAAACAAAATTAATTTAAAATGAGGAATATAAAAGTTCGAAGTATTATCTATGTATTATCATTATTTCATTTATAACATCCCATGTTTTTTTGTTATTTCCAATATTGTTTTGCAATAAATTAGAATAATAATTTTTTTTTGCTTGTTTTTTTATTTTTTCAAACAGGTTTTTATAATTTTTGTATTTGTTTTCATTTTTGTAAGTTTTTTTTTTTTAAGTATTTTTCATAGTCTTTGTTTTTTTTTTGGAAGATTTGATACGACCTTAGGAAATCCATGGACTTTGTAAGCTTTTAAGTTTAATTACTTTTTCTTGCTTAGGAAACGCTTTTTCATACGCATTACTGAACTCTTAGTTAAAATATTCATAAGCGTTATTTGCGTCTTTGTAGTTGATGAGTTGATCCCAATCTACTAGTGATAGATAGTTATGAAACGTTTCAATGGTATTTTTATCTATTTTTCTTTTTGTAACGCTTATTAATTTGTTTGATTCCTTGATTGATTTTTCTTTGTATATTGAATTTGATGTGAAAAATATTGGGAAATGATCAGTTCTTATGATTCCGCTTTGAGTGTGATATTTCGAGAAATTATTAGTAAAAATATTGTCTATGAGAGTTTCAGTTTGAAGAGTTATGCGAGTTGGTTTATTAATTAATGGTAAAATATTGTACTGATAGAGAAGATTTAGAAAGCGTTCGACTTTATTATCATTTTTTACGTTTAAAAGGTTTATATTAAAATCCCCCATTAAGTATACTTGTTGATTTCTAACGCTTACTAAATACTGTTCTAAATAGTTTTCAAACGTTGTTATATTTCCGCAAGGTGGTCTATACATAGCGGTTAAATAAACATTTTTTTTGTTATGGATCAGTAGTTCTAACGTTAAGAATGTCTCTGAATACTTCTTCTGGATACTTCCTTTAAGTATTAAAAAACTTCCGTGGCATTGACACGGACCAGACTTAAAAAAATGAAACAAACCAAAAAAGTTGCACTTATTTTGTCCGCTGCAAACTGGCACTTGTAATCAAAATTCTGCCTGTGTGCTGTCACCTGATTGCTCATGTCATGGCATGCTATGACTCCAGACTCTTGAACTGTTTGCTGTGGTAGTATAGTTCTTTTCGTATACATGTAAAATTAGGAAAACTTTTTAGCATTGTTTGGTTGCATTGGTTGCAAATGTTTTGTCCAATACTGTATATTTAATCTAGTTATGAAGTATTTTTTCGTGCTTGGTAATAAGACTGAGCTTGACTTCTTCTAGCTCAGTTTTATGACTGCGTGTATTATTTTAAATAATTTAATTACATTCTTATCACTGTGTAAAAGTGTAGGGTAAACGATCCTGTGGTCGCTGTCCCCTTCTAGATTTAAATATTGGTCAGAAAACTAATATGAATAGGCACTTGAAAGAAATTATTCAATGTTTTTATGCCTAACTTAAATACTCTTGGTTGTTTTCGACGCGGCTTTAGCCTAGAAGTTTCTTTTACGCATTATCAATAAAATATTGCGTAAAATTTATTGAACTCTTGAAGCTCAGCAAAATTGCGATTTTTAGCTTGGTAATTGCGCAAACTAAAATGCTCTAAATGAAAAACATCGAAACGATAAAAAAAACTGTTTAATTTTAAAATGTTTATAACCATTACTTTAAAACTTGGCAGGCGCAAATATACTGCTTACTTGGGATTTTTTTTTTTTTGCTGCTAGCATCTGTTTACAGAATTTTTTTTTTTAAATGGCTAAATATTTTATATCAAAATTCATGTTATTTCTTTTTGTCTTTAATTGCAAATGGGAAATTATATACTTTAAACCGATAAACTTATCAAGCTAAATTTCTATAAAAACAATACGTTTGTAATGTATTGCATTGCAACTTAAAAAACAATATTTTGGTAAAACCACAATTACGTTAACGTGAATTCACTGCTCTATTTGTATTTTTTTTTTGTTTTATAAAATTAAGGCTTAAATTTGGATTGTGCATAAAAGAAAGGATATTCGATATAACTTTTAATAAGGAGCGTAGAAATGTGGCGACGATTATTCTAAAGTGTCTTAAAAATTTAAGTCTTTTAAAAAATTTTCTATATAAAAAGCATAAAAATAACATAATTTAAAAGGATTTAATGTATAAATATGTAAAAATGAAAAAAACAACTTTTTATGTTATATGTTTGCGAAATACGTATAAAGGCGGATTTCTATTTACAGGAAATTTTCTGCGGAACGGAACGGAAAATAATAAATAATAAAAACAAAAAGGCGCTTCCACTGATAAAAAAGGTGTAAATTTAAGTGTACTTGATTCTATGGTGGCTGAGCACTGAATAATTTCTTTTAAAACGTCGTTATGATTATTACTTTTATGTAGCTTTGCTGATTTATTTACATTTAAACAGAAAATTTAGAATTTGTTTTTAAAAAAATGTTTCTTTCTCTACAAAATGCACGAGCCTGACAAACTCCTTTTGAATAGTGATATATTCTTTGTTAGTTTAGACAAGGTGTTGTCTAAAGAACCAACATATGGTTCGCTCTCAACAATACGAATAAATTCCTAAAAACAATATATTAATTATATAATTTTTTCTTAATTTAAAACTTAATTGTCTATTATAAGCATACGAACCTTAATGATACTATTGACAAAATTTTTCTCTGATATATTGCTCCGTTTAGTTTTTGATCTCGTCAATTCATTACACACTTTTTTCCTTAGCGCTTCAAAATAATTTGATGTTTTTGAAACTTGTTTAGCTAAATTTAATTGGCTGGCCCAATATTTTATTCCTACACTATTCTGGTGTTCCAGTTGTTGCTTTAACGTTTTTAACTGTTGATTAATCCCTAAAACAATTATTACAATTATTTAATATATGTATAATAAAAAAAAAGTTAGTAATAATTAAACACTAATATAAAAAATAGGTGCACAATGCTTACTACTAAAAATTTCTCTAGTGTTTAATATTTAAAAATATAGTGTGTTCAATTTAATAAATAGAAAGTATTTATGGAGCGTGGTTGGAATCAGAGTGGATGTTACGTAGCTTTTCATTCAAGTTTTTAAAAGGTTGGTACAAATTCCTTTCTAGGTTGAAGGATACATCTATGAAATTGACTGCAGGTAGGTTTTTTAGTATTACTTTTTTTAAAACACGATTATTTCAAAAACTTCATGAATATTTTTTCATGAGCAATTTTTTCATCAAATTTTCAGTTTTTTGAAAAGTAACATCGGACCATCGTCACTGTTTATTCCAATATCTTCTTTGTTTATTATCTAGATAGCAAGTCTAAAATAAGCAGGTAAAATGACCTGATCTATAGATTTCCCCGAAACTTCTTTGATTTTCGTTTTTATTTTAAAAGCAACCTAAAAATTACTAAATCAAAAAGATCAAAAGATCAAAAGATGCTTCATACTAAAAACCATTCGTATTGAATCTGACGAAGATATACAAGGATCTAGACCAATTGGGTTATTCAATTTGCTATACCTTGTTACACTCCATGGTGGCTATGTGCAACTATATCTTCAGCAGCTCCAGCTAATGGTTTGGATCAACTTATTATTTGAACTGCTAATCTATTGCTATTTTACTAATTAAAAGATTTTATTAATCAAATTGGATACTAAGGAGTTGGTAACTAAGTAACCAAGGAGTTGGTCTCTTTTTAATAAAAACCATAAGGATAAGCAGAGGTATAAAATTACCAATAAAATCGCTGAAAAATTATGCAAATGAAATAAGCTCAGATAGAAAAGGTTTGGGGTTTGGTTATTCTATAATTCCAATTCTTCTAGTAGTGGCTGTAAAAGATTTGACAAATTTTATTGCTGAAAAAACTCAAGAATTTATTACCATATTAAACGTAAAATTGAGCTTTCTCAAGGAAATTGTTACAGAATGAAAAAAAAAATTGTTTTTAAACATGTAATTCCTAATTTATGTACTTTGCTGAGCTGTAAAGCTTTATAGTAAAAATAAAATGTTCCAGAAAATTGTGTAAATTGTAAAAAATAACAGCAAAATTGTTACTTAACCAAGGAAAAAAGCATTGAGAACCAATCAGATGATAGATATAGTTCTGAATGGATCGCCAATTTCTTCTAATTTTGAATTAATGAGTTAAATTTCTTATATTGTAAACATATAAGATAAATATTAATAAAGTTTATATATAATTATATAAATATAAAGTTTTATACAATTAAGTTTGGCATGCTCCATAAGCTTCATATGGTTTCCTTCATGTTTCTGGGAATTTTTCATCGAGGGGCTTTCCTTGGTCTTGTGATGTTTCTTATCTACATTAATGATCTTCCTGAAAAACTTACATCTAAAGTGACTCTATTTGCTGACAACTCAACTTCTTTATTGATAAAAAGTCTTCTTTTTTTGATTGTTTACAGGCAGCCAATCGTGAATCTGATCTAACTTTTTCTATTATTGATCTGATCTAACTTGATCTATTATTTACTGCAAACAACTATCGCAAGTGTCAACATTTCTATATTAATGAATGGCATGCTTTTAACTGAGTTCTCTTTTTTTACATTTTCTAGGATAATTGTTCACTACTGATTTCTCATGAAAACCATATATACAATTGATTGCAAAGTTACTTAAGGTTGCATCTCTTTACTGTGCTCACCATTATCTTACTGCTAATTACATTCTCTAACTTTACAATGTCTTATATGTCCTTATATGGAATAATGTTGACATATTTTGGCTGGTTATTAAATGATGCTCTTTTCCTTTTAAACAAGGTCCAAAAACACATCAAAAACGTATCTGGAATTGCTTTATCTCTAAAGTTTGAGCCCCTTTCCCTTTCGTTTTCAAAACTTTCACAGCCGCTACTCAAAAGAGCTACAATTTCTAGTTTCATCAACAAAAACTCATTAAGGCATGACTCATCGTTCAGCAAAATTGCTTTTTTTAACTGTATCTGTCCCTGCATACTCTAAAAACTTTTATTCTTTGTTTATTTCCCCCCACTTCAACTCTTTAAAACTTTCTTTCATCTCAATATTTTGCGGACTCATACAACTTTCCTAGTCTTTTGTTAACAATTACCTTGTTCAATAACTCTATTCTTTGTTTTCTTGTAACTCTTAATTTAATATTGGTTGTTTGCAGCTTTGTATTGATTGAATTAGATTTTTCAAATTTAAATGTTAGTAAAACATTAATTTTTTATTGCTTATACAGACTTTTTGTATTTTACCTAATATTTTATATATTGAAATTTTTGAATTAACAAAAATGTATGAATTTGTATTTCAGTTTAGAATATATTATATATAGTCAAAAACTATGCAAACTCAGAGCAAATATTTTTTGTTCTTTTTAATTCTTTTAAATTTTAAACTTTTAAACATATTAGTAAATCATTGTTCAATAAATTTTCAAACATATAAGTAAATTGTTGTTTATTAACAAAAATTGATAAAGTCATACAATAAAAACTAAGTAAATAATAAAATAAATATTCAGGTATTTAAATTTATAAAAAGAATGCGGAGACTTGCATAAGATCATCAAATCTTTTTATTGAGAAACACTCGTAAATTAACATAATCTCAAATCACAAATCAAATATAGTTGTATATACCTAAAGAAACTTGACATGGATACCTAAAAACTTGGTATTTATTTCTCTTTTTATTTGGATTTTGTCTATAAAAAGTATAGGAATGTCAAGAGGCAGTAGTTTCTTTTTAGAAGTCGGATAAAAAAATAACCATTTTGTTTTATCAACATTTAGTGACAACTTATTCATTTTGAACCATTCACAAATTTTCGCTATTTTAATGTTCATATTTTGAAATAACGTTATAATACTTTTATGCAATAAAAAGAGATTAGTGTCATCAGCAAACATGACAGTCATATAATTTGGCGTTTTAGGAAGATCACTGATGTAAATTAAATAAAGAAGTGGTCTAAGTGTAGAGCCTTGGGGAACTTCACAGGTTATATTTAATAAACTAGTTGTACCAGTTTCATTACTATAAACAAACTGTTTGCGGTTGCTTAAAAAACTTTTAAGAAACATTAGCTTTAATTCCATAATATTCTTTTTTTTAAAGGAGATTTTAATGATCAATGATGGCCAAACGCTTTTAATAATTCTATAAAAACTCCTAACTTCTTAAAAGATTCAGCTATGCTGCAAGTAATTTAAAGTATTGTGTGTTCTGTCGAGTTATTTTTTATGAATCCATATTGATTGACATATAGTGTATTATATAATGAAAAGTGTTTTTAAATATAGTTTATAAATAATGTTCAATAAATTCTTTTTAAAAATTTTATTTAACATTTAATTAACAAAAATTTAACTGTAAGTTGCTGCTACTCTGTGTAGTTGAGGCAATTATAAAATATTATAGTGTCTGTATGAAATTTTGCTGACTATGACATATTTCCGTTAAATGATCAGGTCTATGAGTTATGAAAAGACGAAATAAATTAAAATGATAAATTTTGCGGTATCATTAAAATATAAATGTTCATAGCGGAAATAACCCAGACCGAAGATTTTTTTTTTTTTAAATCTTCTTAAAATCACAATCACTTGTCCTAATTTTAATTAAAGCTGATGAGCAGAATTAATCTAAACATTCCAAAATAATGTTCTTTAGACTCACTATTAAGGGTAGTAATATGGTTTTGAAAATTCTTTAATATTCAAAAAACCTGAAGCAAAAAAAAATTATATCTAAAGCTCTTGAGGGGACATAATACTCTCATAAAACCATGCTAATTCTAAATAAATTCAAATAATTTCTAAATTGCCTTAACTACACCAAGTATCACCCTTTCTAGGGTGATAGAAGCAACAATTAAATTTTTTAAAGCAAAAAAATTTTACGGTTACAATTTTAACTGTTAAAACTTCTTTATTGACATCAAATTTACTCCAGTACACACACACACACACCAGTATACCTCAAGCTTTCTTTAACACAAATTACTAAACCACCACTTTTTATTTTGACGCCTTAAAGTGATTTTTTTTTAAACAGATGTTTATATTAGAATTTGTATTATCTAAGCAGCACAAAGTTTCTGATATACAAATTAAACTAAAAGTAGTAAGATATTCTTTCATGTTTATGCAAAAAATTTTATAATTTTTTGATCACCTTTATATGCTAATATGCCAAGTGTTAAAATTATTAGAACTAAGAAATTAATTTATTTCACTGGAATAATATTACAGTCAACTCTCGATATCACGAATACTTGATATCTCAAACTTTTGAGTATCATGATCTTTTTTTGTCTTCGCATGAACATAATTTACTCATGCCCATGAACATTACTTACTTGTTTGGGCTAAAATCCCTTTGATTTCTCAAACCTTAATAACTTTTTTGTATCTCAAACAATATTTTTGGTATTTGGGGCAATTTTCTTTTGTTATCTAGAACTTTTCAACAATTTTTCTCTAGAAATGTTTCAATAACATTTAATTTTCGAAAATTCAAATATTGCTTTTGAATTTTTTAAAAATCGATTTTACATGTACGGAATTTCTGAAAAATATTTCTTTAATAGATTAATTTAATGTTTTTGTCAAACGCGAAGCCACTAGTTAAATGAAAACTTACAAACAAATCTTCAATAGAAAAATGCAAGTAGTGATAATTTCGCAAAATGTAGACAAGGCCATATTCATGTGGTTCATTGCAAAAGGCAACAAGTAGTAATTGATGGCATCATACTGAAAGAAAAGGCGCTAAAATTTGCAGAAGCATTAGGAGAGTTAGATTTTAAAGCATCTGATTGTTGGTTTCATAATTGGAAAGAAAGATCAGTTAAATTTTG